ATAATACACAGGCAAATTATATCCACTACACTCACTGACTGTCTCGCGAGGAGTTGCGGCTAGAAGCGAAGACAAATTTCTCAGGTACTCCTCGTCCTCCACAATTATCTTATCCTTGGTGAGATCCAACGTCACATTTGGCACATTTTCGAACATAAGGGTGAGGTACTCCGTCCAGTTTATCTGTGTGAAGTTTATTCGCAAGTAAGAAAAAATTAGCCAAGCCAAAACAGAAACTCTGGCCGCCCCTGCGCCGCCAGGTAGGCAGCCCATCGAACACCCGCGTGAGGGCGTCGGCCTGGTCGGCCGGCGTCGCCGACCCGACACCCACCTGAGACGGGGTGCCCTCTTTGAGGCCGGCGTCGGTCAGGTTCTGCAGCTCCCACACCCACATCTCCAAGGGGTCGTCATCCCGGACGGCAGACCTGTTCTCCGGGAACGCGAGCTGAAACATGAGCGCGTAAACAGATGGAGCGAGGCGGTGGGCCGGGGCCGGGGGGAGGGGGGCACAGAGGGTCGCGCTTCCGAGCAGTATGGACCCACCCTGTACAGAGCCTTGTTGAAGGCGAGGACGTCCAGGGCGGCCTTCTTGAGGCCGGGAGGCGCGGCGGCCCGCAGGTTGCAGGAGGCGCCCATTCCTCCTGGCGCGACACCGCCGCGGCTGCTGCTGCTGCTGCTGCGACTGGAGTTGTTGCTCGACGTGGCCGACGACGCCTCCGGAGCTCTGAGGCTGCCGTTGGCGTGCTGTGCAGGTGAGTGAAATGTACATAGAGATACATAGCTCTGCCCTTTGCCTAAAGGTTTTGAATGTTGTCCCGTACCTGCGTGACTAGAGTCATCGCGTCCATCATGTACAACAGGTAGGCGGCGAGGTGCCTGATGTCCGACGGCACCTTCTCGTCGCCGCCAGCGTCGTCGCTTCCGCTGCCGTCATCCTCGTCGTACTCGTTCGTCGGTCTGAGGCTGGCCAGTGGGACCGACGTCCTCGCCAGGATGCGGTGCCTCCTGTGCTCCAGGCGGCGGGCCTGGTGCCCGAGCAGGGGCGAGCCGGAGCGGTACTTCTTGACGAGGATCTTGTTGACGGTGCGGTCCTTGACGTCGGCGCGCACGTCCAGGTTGACGAGCAGGTCCTTGTTGGTGCGCTTCCTGGCGAGCACGGACGTGCGCTCCCACGTCCAGTCGGGGTCCGGGCCGAGGGGCGGCCGCCGAGGAAGCCCCACCGCGTCGAGCACGGCGAGCAGGGGGTCCAGGCCCAGGGCGTCCCACGCCTCTGCGGGGAGTCGATCAGGGGGCGGGGGGTTAGTGAGCACACAACGGCACGGCCTCTGTGCCCCACGGCGACGGCTCTATACCTCGGTCCAGACACGCCCGGTACAGGATGCGGGCCTGCGACACCGCCCAGGGGGTGCTCGCAGTGGTGTTCTCCTCCAAGTACTCTGCAAACACGCACACATGCAATGCCGCGGATGTACTGTTCCTTTGAATCCAGGGTCGCGAATACAGACGGACAACGCCATGACGATAAGTGTGTAGGTGATATAAATTGTCTTAGTGTGAACTTCATAATATGGCATGTAAAAGACTGAAACTCAATAGGATGAGATTAGATGGCCGCAGGAAAAGGCAAAACATGAGAACATACACCGTAAATCCGGGGTGTCCAGCAGGTAGGCGACAAAGTCACCTGACCCGCAAAACTAGGCGACTTAGGTCGAGTATCTGCTGGTCACCTTCTGATCTTCCGGGTAATTGCACGGACACAATGGGTGGAATGCCTATGAACTCATACAATGCAATTACCCAGGAGAACAAAAGGTGTCCAGCAGATAGTCGACATAAATCGCCTATATAGTTTTGCGGGTCAGGCGACTTTGTCGCCGACCTGCAGGACAACCCGGATTTACAGTGTAGTCACTATCCTGTTGTGTTTGAGCGAACTTGTATACTTCCAAAACAAATGAAAGATTTCCAGAAAAAAATGGAAAATAGAAATAAAACTTCAAAGAAATTTACACATTTTGAAAACAAAAATTGGAAAGTTTACCAAAAATACTTTTTCTGGGAAATTGAAAACCATATGCAGCAGACCACAATCTTCTGCCAGTGTCCCTCTCGCGGAGGCACTCACTCACCGCGCACGCCGACCAGCACGTGCTCGTGCCGGTCGTAGAACCAGTCGTGGCTGAAGGCGGCTGCGGGCGCCGGGTGGTCCTGGGGCCAGCTGCCGCACGCGTACGCGTAGAAGTCCTCGCACGGCGACACGCGCGGGTCGATCGAGCGCAGCAGGCTGGCCGCGGTGCGCACGCAGGCCGCGCTCTCGCACACGGGCCCTGCCCGCTCCAGGCTCTTCATGTCTGGAACACACGAGATCAGGTCTATATTATAATTTATTTTACGTTTTAAACATTTCTTTATTTCCTTTCATCATTTCGTTAAAGTAATGGATACCATTTTCGGAGAGTATCTGTATTCGTTAAAAGAGTACCCCGCACCGACATCCTCAAAGACACGATGACTAATTAATATTGTGGAACGACGCTGTCCGCACCCTCAGAAATGTCACCATCCCCGGCTTTCGTTTTGAAGGTCGGCCCCTAGGTCAGCGCGAAGCCAAATACCCTCGAGAGAGAGAGAGAGCGAGAGAGACGGGAGAGTTTGTCGGAAAGGGTTCACTTGGCTTCAGGCTCCAGGGCGTTGGACAGTGCTCTGATTGCCCTGCTGCTGCTGCTGCTCGCCCTGCTGGCAACCAACGGGCCAATTATATGAAGGAGTGCATACTTACTTTCTCCCTCCACTCGCGACCGCCCCCGCGCCGCCCCCACTGTGGACCACTTGCACCAACTAACTGTCGTCGAGCAGGCACGCGCAGTAGTAGTAGACCCTTTGAAAAGCCCGCGGAACGCTCCCCCTCCCCGCACCCTTTTCCCTCCCCCTCTTCACCCCTTCTGCCCCCGACAGATAATTACTTCTCGCGTCCTAGTGGCTGGGTCGTCAAGTATCAACAGCTAAAAGAAAATAACGTACAAGAAAATCACAAGAGAAGGCCGTCGGCCCACGTCTAAGCTGTCTTCTCTGACCTCTAGTTATTCTGTTGGAACGAAAGTAAGAAAAGTCGACCTCCGACACCTCACTGCGGTCGCGCGGCGGCGCCCCGTTCGATACCCTCGAAGAACTTTCGAGGGGTGTTGTTGTGTTGTGGCGGTACCAACTTACCGGCACCTGTGCGCGCGCACTTTCACACAAATATAAACAAACAATTTGAGCCGGACGCAAATATGGTGTGCAGTACGTCGGAGAATCCGTGGCGCCGAATGGGCGAGAGGCGAGCTGTCATCATCGCTCGGAAATAACATCTGATTGCGCACAGTAGCACAACGCCGGCGAGTGCGCGCGCGGCACTACTCCGCCGACAAGCAGCAGGTCGATACGGACAGCGGCGACGACATCCGGTGTCTGACGGGACCCACGCGCTCCATCCCCCGCCCCGCCCCGCTCCACCCCGTCGCACGTCGCGCAACCTCGCCAACCCTCAATATAAGCCCCGGGACACTAGCTCGCCCCGCCCGCTCCGCCCCTCCTTTGACAGGCGAATACTGCCCCGCGCTGTTGTGTGGTTCAAGGCCACGCAGCTGTCGACGCGAAGAAGGTTGTGTGGGTTGTCGCCACCCCCGCCTGCTGCTCTCTCCTTCGTTCCCCTTTCTCGAGGTCTTCCACTACTGTCCTCAACAGTCCCCATCTTCCGTCTGCGCCCCACCCACCCCCCTTCCTCCTTCACCCACACATTGGTTTATCACGTTAGGCCAAACATACAAAACGCACGAGGAAATTTACCACGCACGCGCCGTCTTTGCGAACAAGGCCGGCGGCGCGGGCGGCCCTCGCGCCCGGGCGGACTTACAGAAGTAGGTAAAGACGAAGAGGCCGATGAGGAGGGCGCCCTCGAACAGGCTGACGGCGGCGAGGACGGAGATGACGCGCCGGCGCCCGAGGCCGCCCGAGGACCCCGCCGACGCCCCGGCGGACTTCCTGCTGGTGAACGAGGATATAATTTGACAGAAGGCGAGCGCCAACAAGGGGCGTTCTGGTGCACACATCTTATTCATTTCAAGTAAAATTTTAACAGAAGTTTCGTTGTTTTTCCTAAAAAGTGTCATTTTTTCAATTTTTCTAGAAATATTTTTGAAAACAACCGTTTTTTTCCTGGATTTTAAAAACAATTTCCGTGAAAATTTCGGTCTATAAAATTCCTATTCACTCATCACTCACTTGCTCAGCGGCGGCAGGAGCCTGGTGATGCTGGTGACGCTCCCAGTGGGGCTCTGCGGCTGCTGCGGGAGCGACCCGGGGCGCGCGGTCCACGGGGCGACCGCCACCGGCACCAGGCCGCCCGAGCCCCTCAAGCTCAAGACACCCCCTGTCGCCGGCACAAAGGGTGTCAGCTTCACTGGGCACGGCGAGCGCCGGAGCGGCGGAAGCGACCACTCGGGAGCAATTCAGAGTAAGGGTTACCATATTCTTAAACGAAAGAAGACGTGGAAGAAGGAACTCGAAAACTAAATCGAATGTGAATATCGAAGGCGAGAAACGAACAATCTTTAAAAATTCAAATTGTCATGTGTAAAATAGTCAGGCTCAAAGAAAATCAAAACGGAAAGTAAAACCCGGTAGACAACGGTAACGGTTCAGTGGGAAAAAGACTTGACAATGTACTTTTCTTGACGCTCATGCACACGTAAGTACGGAATAAAGTCACGATGTTCAGTCACGGGAAAACTCACCCCTGGTTACTTGAGGCTCCAGCCACTGGTTGAACCGCGAGCCGATGCTGTTGACGGTCTTGGAAGACGCGCGTCGCTGCTGCTGCTGCAGGTGCTGCTGGTCCAGGAGGAAGTTGATGTGCAGCTGGCTCTGCGGCGTGCCGTACTCGACGGAATCGTGCAGCCTGGTGTGCTGCGCGGGGCCGGGCGTCGGCACCCCGGGCAACAGCGGCCCGTCACCGTTCATCTGGCGAGTTACAAACGTGTTACTAATTAGATAATTACGCACTGTTAAAGTCTTACAAAGAAAAGTGCCAAATCCTTTGTAATACAAAGGATTTGGACGCTTTGTATAGGAAGCAAATCCTTCGTAGGTAGGTACGAAGCATTTGGCATTTTGCTTCGTAAGACTTTAACTGTGCGAGTAACACACAATTAAATAGGAATCGTCGAGTCACAAGGGCAAATGTATAGGCATATGGGAATGGGATCATCGAGAAAGTACGTACGTCATTTGCCGTGAGAAACTGTAAGGTTCAACCAGTGCAAGCTCTCATAGCGCCTGATGGCTAGGCAACATCTTGCCTGCAATGCATGCGTGTGCTGCAGGGTGGCCTACCCCGGGTCTCGCAGGCGCCAAGCTCCCGCACTGAAAACTGTGTAATGACGCATGTCGATCACCAGATGATAACGCGGTGTACATTTCAGTTTTTGTGGAATATTTTCTAAACGAGCTCTGAGAGTTAATTTTCAAAAGCACCATCGGATTTCCCGCGAAATTTCCGATTAAACAATCCTACATGGTGATAGGGTTCGGAGTTCAAATAATAACACGGAAAAAGACGTGTTCTTAGAGAACCTTTGTTCAGAACCCCATCACATGTAGGCTCGTTTGATCGGAAATTTTACGGGAAACTCCATGGTACTTTAAAAAAAATTTGGGGCTCGTTTAGAAAATATTCTATTAAAACTGAAATGTGCACCGCGTTATCAGCTAGTGATCGAATTTTCGTCATTACGCAGTTTTCAGTGCTTAAATTGCCGAATGAATCAGAGAATAAAGGACGTGCTCTCTGGACGACCGCTTACTCGCATGACATAGCTTTTAGTGAGGTGTGGTGCGGAGTGTCGTCGGAACCATCAGCGAGCACGCAGGGTGGCGGGCAGCGCTCTCACTCGCACCCGCAGGTAGGCGAGCAGGGCAGGCAGCGCTCTCACTCGCACCTGAGGTGCGCGATGATGACACGTCCGAGTCGCAATTAAATGATTTACCTTTAGGGCTTTGCCAGCTGCGCCACGTCCGGCTTCGACCTGACGGCGGGGGGACCCCTCCTCATCGCCGTCGGATTGCTGCGGGATGGGAAATATAAAATATCAAACACCGAGGGGTGCGGTGGGAAAAAGGAAAATAAATAAAAAAACGAAAAGGGAAAAGGAAGCCGGAGGCCGGAGAAGCATGAGGGCGCCCAGCCCGGTGTCCCAATTTAGGACGTCGCATGCCCACCGCGCTCAACGACAACGGCTCGTGTCGTAACTTTGGTCGCTTATCTAACAAAAACACAAATAAACAGAATACAGGGGCACACAAATATTTGATCCCTAA